GCCGGTAAAGCAGAAGAGTTGGTCGTGGGGCTACGCCCACACTAAGAAGCACAAGGTGGGGGTCATCGAGGAGGAGCTGCGAAAGCTCATAAGGGGCGGCCTCGATGGGGTGCGGGTGTTCCACACCCTTTACCACCGCCGAGTTGCGCCGCTGGCGGAGAGGACGCACCCGATGTGGACGTACGGCGACCGGTCAGACCCGGACCGCGCGTCGTCGGAGGATCTATCGGACGACGAGATCTGGAGCCGCATCGGCCGAGTGCTACAGCTGAGGCCTAGAGAGACGGTTGAGGGAAAACCCATACCATTCAATGCCTCGATCGTGCCCACGCTAGTATGCTCTTTGTTCGTGCTCTTTCTCTGCTCCTTTCCCTTTTCTTTGATTTTGGTTCTATCATTCCGTAGGGGCTTGGGAGGTACAGGTCCCGGCCGCACCTTCCCAAGGGTCCGGAGGGCCGAGCCCAACAGGCCGCCCAGAAGGAGGCGGCCGACGCTCGGAAGAAGAAGAAGACCCAGGAGGTTCAGCGGAAGGAAGAGAAGAAGAAGGAGGTCGCTCGACGCGTGAAGGCCGGGGAACGTAGGAGCGACGTCGAGTCAGAACTCGCGTCGGACGATCCTACGGACTTGGACGACATGGTCTTCTCCGACGAGGAGGAGAGTCAGGAGGTCGTTGTGACCTCAGCGGTGCGTCGCGACCCTGAGGCGACGTCCGTTGGTGAGGAGCAGGAGGCCGCGCGGCGCGTGGAGGTTCCTGCTTCATGGAAGCGTGCAGCGAGCGCGGACACCGTTGGCAAGCGAGCGTTGAAGCAAACGCGGTCACCACGCCCATTGATGGTGCCGCCGGTCCCATCGCCGCCTACGGCAGATGCGGCTGGGCGAGCCGGGCTGTCCGAGGAGCGGACGGGCGCTCGTGCGGTGACGGAGCCGGTGCCAAAGCCAGACTCGCAGCCGGAGGAGGCCTTGCCTGCCGCGGCCACAGTCGAGCAATCTGGGTGGTCTGAGGGGCAGACTGGCGCCCGGACGATACGCGACTTGCAGTCGGAGGATGCCCCGCCCGCTGCTCCAGTCGGGGAGTCCCGAGCCGGGGGTCGTAGCGATCCGTAGGCCGGGCAGGCGCCGGTCGGGACGGTTCCGACCCCATCTGAGGCGAGGGGGCATGGGTCATAGCCTGGGGGTGTTCCTCGCCCTGTAGGTCCATGGTCATCAGAGTCTGCCTTCCGGGTTGTGCCGCTAGCCACCTGGTATGTTACCTTTTGTTGCCTCACCGACTTTTGCTGGTCGAGTCTCTCCCCCTTTTTTTTGGAGTGTGGCTTACTCGCGATTTTTGTCAGAGGCCGGGGGATGCCGGGGTTGAGTGTTGCCCTGACCCCCGTGCAGGAGGATTGGAGGCCCACTCTGCAGCGTGTGGCGGCGAGTGAAGGGGCCAGCAGGGTGGCGGCGACAAAGCCTTTGCTCCTGGGGGTAGTGCCCCCCGTGGCGACTGCTAGTAATGTGACAGCGGCGGCGGCGTTGCTGGCTGCGATCCTGGTGCCGACGACGGGGGTTGCGGCGGAGGTAACTCTTGTGGCCCCTCCGCCGGGCGTGGCAGAAGAGACAAGGGAGGACGAGGTCCCTACCTCGACGGGTGGAGGACTGCACGACCTATCCTTGCTGTCGGGATCGAAGGCGCTGGAGGGGAGCATGGCCGGAACAGAGTTGGGACGCCCGGCGAAGTTCCAAGCAAATGAGGTGGTGGAGATCCCATCTGACGATGAGGCGGGTACCACGGCGGAGCTGCCGGTGTCGCCGCAGGAGCTGGTGGTGTCGCCGCGGGAGCTGGCGGTGGTCCAGTTGGAGGTTGGGCCCTCAGGCAGTTCATCGGAGGGCGACCTAGAGTGGTCTTTTCCTGAGGACCCGTCGAAGGCGATGTTCATCCTTCGGGATTCCCAGGAGCGCCAGCTCTGGGACATTTTTGGGGGGCAAGGGCATGCCGCAGTGTTCGAGCTCACCAAGCTATCCGCAAAGCTTGCGAGGGCCCAGAAGCAGGCCTAGTTTGCTCGGCAGTTGGTTGAGGTCGACCTGCAGCTCGCTGCGGAGGTGAGTTTCTTGTACTCTCTCTTACCCTTTGAGTCTTTTGTCGGTTGTTTTTAGCATGCCTGTTTCACAGGAAATAAGGAAGGTGTCGTCCCGCAAGTCCCACTTCCTCTGGGCGGAACATGCCTAGATGGCTAAGCTTGAGCGTCAGGTGGAGTCCGCCTGCCGCGAGTCCCAGGTCCGGGCGACCAAGGCGGCCACAGAGCGGGCGGAGGGACAGCGTGCGGCAGAGCGGGCGACCGCTGCTGAGCAAGGGCTCGAGGCGGAGAGCGTTCATCACGAGGAGGCTGAGGCGGGGGTGCGGGCGTCCCTGGCGAACACCGAGGTGGTGCTGCGAGAAGCCTTGGCGTCCCTGGAGAGGGCACAGAAGGCCCTAGAGGCGGAGCAGAGGGCCCGATCGGAGGTGGATCCGGAGGTGCTCGCGCTCCGGAGCCAGGTGATGGGTATGGAGGACGCGAGTGCCTGTCTGCGCGAGCAGGTGGCTCGGCAGGCAGAGGATTTCTCCTCCCTTGAGGCCTCTCGCATTGGTGCGTACCTTTTTGTTTTCTCGTGGTGTTGATTTTTCCCTCAGCCTGTTTCTGAGTTTGTCGTCCTTCCTTCAGAGCTGGGTGAGAAGGTGAAGGCGCTGGAGCGAGACCTGGAGACGTCCAAGGCGAGCTTCAGTCGAAACGCCGAGGAGCTGGCCAAGTCCTATGAAGAGCGACATGCTCTCGTAGGAGATTTCGATCAGATCCGCAACGCTGCCCGGCTCATCGTCTCAGAAATCTTCGGGTCGTTGCCAAGTACCAGCGCGCCCACGGCCCAACTGGCGGAGGTCCTGGACGTGGTCAAGGACCTTGTCAGGAGCGGGTTGTTTTATGGAGCGTCGGGGGTGTTGACCTCGGTGGCGACGCACCACCCAAGCCTGGACTTCGACGCTATCTACGGTGGGTATGCTGAGGGTCTGAGCACGGAGGACATCCAAACAATCGGGGTGAGCTTGCTGCCGCATGCGCGGTCGGTGTCAGAGCAAGTCTCCGCCGAGTGGGTGATGGACGTTCGTCGTCAAGACATGGCCCGAAGCATGCGTGGAGAGAATGCTTCCGAGCCTACGGATAGCCCGGAGCTTGGTTCGGGGGGAAATGTCGCCTCGGCCTCGATTGAGCCGAACGTCGTGCCGCCGGAGAGTGAACAGCCTGCGCCTTCGTCGGCCGTGCCGCCAGCAGATGCAGCCGGGTCAGTTTAATAGTTTGCAGAATGTAAGTAGTTAGTAAACGTAGAAAGTTTAAGCTCGTGGGGGAGCCCCTGTGTAAAACGTTCATGTGTTTTCTAAAGACTACAATTGGCTTTTTGTTTTTGTGATGGAGTTGCTCCGTTCGAAAAAGCTTTGTTCCCCTCCGTTCCTTAGTTTTCCCTTGGCATAATTCTGTTTTATATTTCTTTCTTTCTCGTACCTGCCTGTTTGTTCCGTAGGCTGCGACACTGTGAGCCCGGGGGGTGGCCCGCGAGGCTTGGCCGATCGTAACCGTTGGAAAAGGTGGGGTGCAATCAGTCGGAATGTTTTAAAGCAAAGCTACGTAAGGCAAATCAAAAGAACGAACTGTCCTTCTGTTTGGGTAGGAAGGAGTTTTCTCCATATGAAAAAATGTACTCAAGGTAAAAACAAAACAGAGGGGTAGCAGAGCCCCCTAGTGGAGCCCCCGAGCGCCCCGAGCCGAAAAGTGTTCGAGTCGGGGTGCTCTTACAGGAGTGTACGTTTAGTGAATAATGGTAAGACTGAAACTTAGGGAAAGGGAAAAATGACATAGCTGTTCCAAGCGTTCGGAGAGAACGTCGTCGTAGTTGTCTTTCAGTCGGTAGGCGTCCGGTCGGATCAATTCAGCCTTCAGTCGTCTGAATCCTCGCCTGATGTGCCCCCTTCTTCTGTTGCCTTTTTTGTCCCTCGGCCTGCCAGCCTACCTCAGCAGGCGCTTGAGGAGCTGGCAGTCCTTGTAGAGATGGTTGACGGGATAGTTGTGGTTGGTGCACGGGCTCTCCATGAGCTCGTGGAAGTGTCCCGATCGGTCCTGCTGAGGCTGCGTGCCCAGCTGGTCGGTCGTGGCGACCGACGCGGAGTTAGCCGGTCGGTGGCGATCCTTTCTGTTCTTTTTTCCCCTCTGCGTGGAGGGGCCCTCGTCTTGATCCTGGCGCTTGGCCTTACCTTTGACGTGGCCTCCGTTGGAGCGCGGTAAGAACGGCACATGCTGGGGATGTGGGCAAAGGTCGGTGGTCCTGGGCCGTTAGTGCTGGGACTCCGGTCGCCGCTGCATGTGCCTCGGTTCGGTCCGAGCCGCGCGTAGATAGGCGGTAGACGTGGAGCGGTCGTCAGGTCATGATGAGGCGCCACTGCGGCCTCATGCGTCGCGCTCAACGGTTGTTGTGGTGACAGGGTGTAGTGCCCCATCTGCTGTGTCCCTGCTCTCGGGATGGGGAGCGAGGTCGCGAGTCGGCGTCGCGACACGGAGCATTCCGCTTATCGAACGGCGGTGGTCTCCACCAGTGCCCGGAGGTTCCGATGGATCGCCCGTTCGCGCGGGGCGTTTGGCTCGGACAGGCCGCGTAGGAGCATTGCCGCGGCGGCAATGTTCTGACTGGCCCGAGCGAACTGTGGGAGATAGGTCCCTCTATCCGGGGTGTGGCGCTGGACCTGACGGGCGCAACCCCGAGCGCCGTTCGCCGGTCCGCTACGCTTATCTACGGGTATGCCAAATGAAACCACACCTTACATTTTGAAATGGAGGAAGTAGTAACAAAAAAAGTTGTCTCCACAAGTGCACATAAATTAAGGAAACATTAAGGGTTTTTTTTTGAAAAAATATAAACATTAAGTATTTGAGAACTCAGATGTAAGAATGCTTAGTCCTAAGATTGCGAGCGTAGTGGTTTGAGATAAGAAGTCAACATTTTCCTTAGTTGTGTTGAGAAAGTAGATGGATGTGGCATACCATCTCAGGCAGGCACAGAAGATGGATAAGCTTGCAGACATACTTGATATTTGCATAATCGCTATCCAGATCATCTTGGTTAGGAAATGCATTATCCTCCAGATACATGTGCAAGCAAGTGTTCTCCACAGCAACATGTAGAGGCAGTAGGTTCTCAATAACTTGAGTGCCTGATGTGCGTACATTTGCTGATGCATTGTATTCGAACAGCAACTTGATCATGTCAACAGAGAAAATTTCAGCAGCTTGGTGGAGGGGGAAAAAACCAAATCGGTTCATGCAATTGGGGTTGGCACGAAACCCATGAAGCTCAGGATCCTTGCCCTCCAAGACAACTTTGGCACAACGCAATGCATTTTGCAAGATCATCTGGTTGAAGGTTTGTGGGGTGATGATGAAACCCCATCCCATGCCCCGTCCTTCCCGATTGATTAAGCGTAGGAAGCGCCGGACGCTATCCTTTTCCAGGATGGGCACCAAGCGGGGCATTGTAATGTAGAAGGCATGATTCACCCACTAGATTGATCCATCGACAACTGAAAAAAAAAGGGTGAAAGCTAATCAGTTATCAATTCGAAGATGAAATGAAAATAAACACAATCTTAAAATAACACTTCATCATACAGTAAAACATAATAAAACCCAAAACATGCAAGTTAAATACTGAAGCAAAAGATATTGTAGGCACAAACGAATAATTGATATTAAATAACAAGAAGAATTTATCATTTGAAATCCCCAAATGGAGATAAGTTACCTCTGGAGTACGATCTGGGATGATTAGATTGGTCGCTCTGGAGGTCGCAATCAGTTCTTTTTTATCAAACCACTGGGAGAGAAAATGCATCAACAGCCACAAATAATAAGGAAAGAAAACAGAAAAAGAGGAACACCATAAGTGTGGTAAGTCTCCTTCACCTCAGTGACCAATTTGGAATGGGAATTGAAGGACATATCGGGAGGAATAGGAGGACATGGAGGAAAGGGAGGATCCCATGGGTCCCACTCAAACATGGTTGAAGCATCTAATAAACCTTCACAAGGACTAGCTTTCACTTTCGCCGTGTGCATTGTCCCCATTTATGTAAAAGTGCCCTTGAACTCTAGCTCCAATGTTTGATTGGCTAAAGTAAGTTTAACTTGGAATTAAACTTCAATTCAATTTCATCCCGAAATCTAAACAATAAACTTGTACCACGACGAATGTTACTTACATACAGCATAAACAATCAACTGAAGATTACCTTGATGGTGGGGTTGCTGCCAGCCGTGGCGTTCCAATTCGACGGGGCGGCGACCTCCGGCTTTTCTCGGCGGCGATCTCAGTCAGAGACAGGGCGGCGGTCCTCGGCAAGACTGGGAAGAGACGGCGGCGGCTCCGTCAAACCGTTAGCTACGAGAACCATACTTAGGCCCCGTTTGGCAGGGCTTCTCCACCGGCTTCAGGAGCCGTTTGGAGCCGTTTTCTACCAAACGGGGTAAAGTAAAATAGCTTCACCTGTGAACCCCTAAAAACATGCTCTCACAGTGATTTGGGGTGGGATGGAGCCAAAAAAGTGGCTTCTCCCGGCTCCTCCTCCAGGCCCATAAAAACATGCTCTCACAGGGAAGCCATTTTACCAAACGGTTTACCAAAACCGCTTCAGCTCCACCGGTGGAACTGTTCGTGGAGCTGAAGGCAAAAAAAAATGGCTTCACTAGTGAAGTGAAGCCCTGCCAAACGGGACCTTAAAATCCATATTTTTTACTGTCCCTAGAAATTATTACCATAGTCGTCGTAGCTGCTGGAAGGTTTTACTAGATCGGACTTGAGTGCCCAGACCGCGCACAAGGACCGCTCACACCCCCTTCTCTCCGCTTCCCACGAGCATTCCACGTGCAACACCTAATCTACTTTTGAAACATCCAGATGCAACACTTGCAACATATGTATGAAACAAATGCAACATCAAGATAAACACACTTGTAACTTACGTTTGAAAACAGATGAAACATTAGGATAAGACGCTTGCAACATACGTGTACACCATTGCAATATTTACAACATCTTGATCTACTTTTGCAACATCCGTATGAAACACTTGAAACATACATATCTGAAACTAATACAGTTGAAACATAGGCTTGCAACATGTCTGAAAACGCCTAAAACACTTGAAACATAGCATCGCCGGCGGCCATGGCTTACCTATGTAGGGAACTGCGGTGGCGTAGGCCTCCCCTGCCTGCCGACGGTGCGAGGTGGACGGGGGCGCAGGCGCAGGCCTCCCCTGTCTTCCCTTCCGCGACGAGCGAGGTGGATGGGGACGCGGTGCGGGCGCGCGGAGCAGCACGCGTGTGGCGCCACCGCGCTGGAGAAGGCCGCGGCAAACAGCCCCTGCGATGGAGAAGGCGAGCGGCGCAGTTTTTTTTTTTTTTTGAGAAGTCGTGCAGTGGTGACGGCTACTTGATTTAGCCTTAATTGAAATTGTGCAGTCACAAGATAGGAATTAAAAAAAAAGATGCCAATACCTCTAAGTCATGGTTGGACTTCATGCCTATAGATAGATTAAAGACGCAACGAGAGAAAATAGTTATAATTTAATAAATAAAACTATTTGTAAAAAATAATATTCAAATAAAGATCCAAGTACTACAATAAGCCAACTAGCTACTTGCGTAATTTGCGCGGGTGAACTTGCTAATTCTTAATTAAACGACATAGCTCTGCCTTTACATTAGAAAAGGAGATGCCATTCAAACACATGAAAATAAAGTTTATTCTAGTGGACAATAATCTTAGTAGTTAGATCACCATCCGGCGCCTAACGTTAATTGTTTCTTCCACCTCCGACTGAAACAATTCTGTGTTCTTTGTCTTCCTGGAGTTGAATCACTCCTCCATTTTGTGCTCCATCACCTCCAACAGCGATTCCTCGCCACCACCTCCGGTCCTCCCCAGCCCAAGCCTACTGCCTACCTGCCGGCCAATAACCTTTTCTTGATCTAAAGGCCAAAATCTAAGCAGTCCCTCGCTGGATCGGAGAAGCACCCAACCGTAACAATGGTTATGGTAGCGCGCTCAATTTGGTGGCCAATTCCGTTGATGGTTCAGTCGTTTGCATGCTTCTACACGCACATGTATATACCGTCAGTGCAACAAGGGGCAGAGCTAGCCAAACTGACAATTTGGGTTACCTTATTTTCTTCACATGAGCCGGGGCCAAGACAACTGTGAACAGGATATGGTCAAGGAAGTACATTATGAGCTACTACGTACGGTGCAGGTTTAGGGTGGGCCGGCATGGTCTTGACTTTGTGTGGGTGCACCTACAGATCGACATGCAGAGGCTGGAAATAAAAGCTGTGGTCGACCAAGGAGGAGGAGGAGCATGGTGGGGCTCAGGATGCTGATCGCGCATTGACGAGGGGGCGGTGCGCGCATGCGGCCTGCATTTTCCTTCGTCCCTGCATTCTGGACTATGAACGAATCAATGCTCATCCTCCTCCTACTACTGCTACTACAACAGTATAATACTAAATCTATTCCAAATTATAGTTTGTTTGGTTTTTTTAACCTTAAGTTTGACCACTCGTCTTATTTAAAAATTCATGTTAAGGATCACTTGTTTTGGTGTGGCTTGCTTTATTAACGAAAGTTTTTCAAGAATGACTTAAATTGTTTGAATAAGACGAACGGTCGGGGCTAAAAAAGTCAAACGAATTATAATTTAGAACGAAGAGAGCATGTAATAATATACACATTTATTTTATTAATCTAGAATAAAGACACACATTCTCTCTGCGCATTTGGTTTTCGGTGCTCTCCCTCTCTCTATATATAGTTTTCCACCGCCTCCACCCTCCTCTCTCCATTTGCCCTCACCAAACCCATCATTTCTCAGCCCCTTCACACTTGCCATCGGCAGGCTCCATTTCTCTCCCCCGGCCTAGGTAGCTCTTCCCGGTCCTCGCTCTACTAGCTAGCTAGACCCATGGGGTGCTGTTGGCAGCTGAGAAGAAGAAGAAGCAACAGGGCTGTGTTGCAGCTTCTCTGCTGGTTCTTACTCGTCCTTCTCCTCGTCGTGTTCTTGCCAACAAGCTGCTGCCAGGCTTCGAGAGGCGGCATGCAGCCGTTCAAGGGCCGGCCGCTGCAGGGAGGCGCATCCAACAACTTCTTCGGGTTCTTGCCGAGGAGGCCGGCGCCGCCGTCCGGCCCGTCCCGGCAGCACAACTCCGTCGGCATCGAGAGCCAGCGGCAGAAGCAGCCGTGAAGTACGTGAAGCAGCATCGTCTACCACACTAGCAGGAGGGCAGGTACATAGGATAGAAGCTCTGATCAGGATGAAATATACGTATCGATATCATATGGGTGGTTAACTGGTTACATTATAGTTGACTGTAACATGCCTTGATTAAGGATTAACTGTATCTGTATGTAGCATGTTGCAGTAGTATGCTTTTCAGCTTTGAAAGAGAGAGGAATGGCTAGCCAGCTTGGATGACGCGCGTGTGCACCTAACTTCAATTCTTGCTGAAGTGTTGTTTGATGATTTTAATCTGCTCCTCTTGGTGCTTTCATTTATTCTTTTCTAAGCCCATTTTCTTCTCATGCATAGAGCTAGCTGAAAGATAATGATACACTGTAAACATGTTGCTTTGACGTTCTGAGCGAGAGAGGATGACAGAATAGTGCACAGTGCAGGGATGCAGGGGCCGAGTTTGAAAAAATGTTCTGAGTTATTACATTACACTACACTCACATCATTTTTGTTCATAAACTTATATCTTCCCAAGTACAGTAATGTGCAGGACGGTTTGAATTAATTGGTATGAAAATTTTGTTTGCCATTTACTCCCTCGGTCCAGAAAAAAAAAAGCACATGATGATGAATGTGTTTGGTGACATGTATATATATGTCGGTGTGGATGGGACGGGAGAGAAGCGAGACATGACGGGAGCGAGGCACACGGTACCTTTTCTTGCAAAGACTAGCCCTGTTTAGTTCCATTAAAATCCCAACTTTGATACTATACAAAAAGAAGATTCTTCGTCACATTAAATTTATGGTACATGCATGTAGTACTAAATGTTGACGAAATCAAAAACTAATTGCACAATTTGGTTATACTTTGCAAGACGAATATTTTGAGTTTAATTAGTCAACGATTGAACAATTATTAACAAATAAAAACAAAACGACAGTGTAGCTATAGTACGTTTAGCGGTGCCAATTCGGCCCAACTAAACGTGGCCCTAGTAGTAAAATATGTTCGGTGGTGACATGTACCGATCGATCGGTAGGCCATCAAGGACGACCTCTAACAACAATAAGAGTCGGCTATCAGTTTGACTGGTTCGCGGACACGGATAGCGTTCTCCGGCGTCCAGCGACACTGATTGGAGTGGTTCTCCGCCCAAATATCTCTGCAGAGAGATCGATTATCCTTTTCTTTTCCTGGGTCAAATCACACTGCCTTCCCTACCTAAAGTCATGTTCCATATTATTATATATACTATGTGTCATGTACGTCTTTGGCGTGCACACGTACGTACCTTACGAAACTGTCGCGTGGTTTCCTTTAGCAGCTGTCCCTAAACATGTACGTCGTCCTAGTCTCTAAACTCATAAATCGATTGTTTAAGTCATCAAACTTGTTTATATATATCATCTTGGTCCCTAAACTTGTTTGGCTGTGTCAACCTGGTCTATAAACATGCAAATCAAACTTATTCAGTTGTGTCATTCCGGTCCCTACACTTAGTTTTGAGACCATCTGGATCAAAGCAGGGTGATTTAAAAACTTTATATCAAAAAATAATTTATAACTTTTTTATATGAACTCGAACGAAGACAAACTTTATATCAAAATTGAAGCCCTCGACGCGATCTACGACTTTGTAGTTAAAATTTTTTTGAATTAAAACTGTTCTAAAATATTATTGTATATTTATAGATTTTGAAATTTGAAATTGAAAATTAAATTTTGGGACACTAAATGACTTTAAACAAAAAAAAACTTTTCAACTACAAAGTCGTAGATCGTATAAGTCGTAGATTGATCGTATATCATATACGATCTACGACTTTGTAGTTGAAAAGTTTTTTTTGTTTGAAGTCATTTAGTGTCCCAAAATTTAATTTTAAATTTCAAAATCTATAAACATACAATAATATTTTGGGACCCTAAACAATTTTAATTCAAAAACTTTTCAACTACAAAGTCGTGGATCACGTCGAGGGCTTCAATTTTGATATAAAGTTTGTCTTTATTCGAGATCATATGAAAAAGTTATGAATTATTTTTTGATATAAAGTTTGTAGATCACCCTGTTTTGACCCAGATGGACTCAAAACCAAGTTTAGGGACCGGGATGACACAACTGAACAAGTTTGAGGACCTAAACGGTCGATTTGCAAGTTTAGGGACCGGGATGACACAGCCGAATAAGTTTAGGGACCGAGATGACACAGATAAACAAATTTGAGGACTTAAACAGTCAATTTGTGAGTTTAGAGATCGGAATAACATAGCGGTACAAGTTTAAGGACCACCGGTGCACTTTACTCTTTTCTTTATATCATCATCATACATTGCCTTAGAGTGACCATCGATGCGTGCATGCACTGATGCATCTTCTGTAATAGGTACGTAACGAACCTATGCTGCTGTATTGGCTCGATTACATTACATATATACACGATGAGAAGGAGGGGGGACTGTTAGATAAATAGGTATTTTCATAGTTAATTTAATTTAAAAATAAAACATCAGCAGGTTTGTGACGATATATATGTACATATGTAAATCACTAACAAACGCTACAGCATGCAAGTATGGCATACAGATCGATACAGTAAGAACGCAAAGTGCTGTAATCACAGAAATAAGAGTGTACCCAGCGAAGGGTCCCATGCTGAGGGCATCGGAGGCTCCATTCGCACTAGTCGCCATAGTACGTTGCTCAAAGTCGTGGACCACAGTCGATGCAGGAAGGTGTTCGCAGTGCAGTCCCACGAACGGTCACCAGAAAGAAGACGAGTTCCGCGATCGATCACCAGAAAGAAGACGTCGGACGAACAGTCATAGAATCGCTCCCCAAAAACCTAATCGCCGCACACCCCGTGCAAGGTTCGCAGGCGGACGAGGGTTCCAGAGGCACCTGCTCTCCCGCTACTCCATGCGCGCAGAGGTACGGGACGGGGAAACCCAAATGGCGGCTGAGATGTGGTCTCTCGAAAGCGAAGCGGAAGAATTGAACTAATGAAGGACTTCATATTTATGGCTGTGACAGGGAGGGAGAAAGGCAGTGGAGGAACCCAGGAGACGGAGACACGAAGAGACGGTAACTCGTGCAATCAGTTCGTCTCCACCATAAAGAAGAAACTCCGGTGATTATGTGGATTAAGTGGCAAAACCTGGTCACGCCCGCCCGCCTGCCCGCCACGCCACGCCCTCGCCCACGGCCTCGGCCCGGCCCGGCCCACGCCCATGGCCCGGTCGGCGGCGGCGCGCACGCGTGTGTGGCACTCCTTTGTCCTTTTCTCAGCTTATCAATTAAGATGGATAATTTTTAACCAAATAAGCTGAGTAAACGTTTAATCAAAATCCCATACGGTATTAAATCTTACAACGCTTAATGTTATGTACCATGGAGTTTTATTTGATTTATTAAATATTATACGGGCCAAGCACATAATATATCCAACAATCCCCACCAAACTCTAGGGTTTGTAACAAAATAGTTTTATAACCATATTTCTTTGATATACCAGTGTTTTGATAGAGAATATTAAGTTGAACATCCATCTAGAGCAATAGTTTCACTCAGTCACAACTGAACAATGGACTAAACCTTGAATTGATAGTTTTGTATGAGGTGAATGTCACTAAAGTCCTTAGCTGATACTAGGCTGCAAAAGATGTTCCCTCTATTTGAAGCATATAAGTCATACTCCAGTGCCTTTCATGAGTATTTAGAGATCACATAAATCTCATAGACTGTGACCAGCAGTCTGACTCATATAGGTGTGTTCCTCAAAAGATGTTCTGTAGGATAACATCTTTGCTTTAGCAAGCCACTTAGAACACATTAAGGTAAAAATCAACCTGCCTTACAGAAAGAAAAGATATGTATCAGAAATGAGTCTTACTAAGGATCTTTTCTCACAATTTACTACTTGCTTGTTTCACCATCCTACTTCACGGGATCTCCGATCACATAGAACATGTTACCACTATAGTAAATTTCATGTGAGACTCAAACATATCTCTCTCGATGCACTTTCTATCACATTACGTGACAGACCCTTAGTGAACTGATCTATCAGATTGTTAGACGTGTGAACATAGTCCAACGCTATTACTCCGGAGTTTCTTAATTTTTTAATAGATTTTAGTCATTGCTTAACATGCCTTGTAGACATCGTGTTATCCTTAGAACTGTTAACCTTCGTAATCACAGTCTGGTTATCGCAGTTCATAGAAATAACCGGTATGGGTTTTTCAACAACCGGTAAATCCATAAGGAAATCACGAAGCCACTCGGCCTCAGAGCCAGCGGTGTCTAATGTTGTGAGTTCTGCTTCGATTGTAGACTTCGTTAAGATAGTCTGCTTGCAAGACTTACAGGAAACAGCACCACCTCCAAGCGAAAACACATATCCACTTGTGGCATAAAGCTCATCAACATCAGAGAATCCCGTTGGCATCACAATAGCCTTCCAGCACCTTCGGATGTCCGGTATAACGAATACCATAGCTCATAGTGCCTTTTAGATAGCGCATCACTCTCTCAAGAGCACGCCAGTGATCATCTCTTGGGTTTGACACAAACCGGCTCAGCTTACACACAACAAATGAGATGTTAGGCCTTGTTGCACTAGCAAGATACATGAGCGAACCAATAATCTGGGAATATCTCAACTGATCCCTTACTATTCTCCGATTTTTCCTCAACAGCACACTCGGGTCATAAGGTGTAGGAGTAGGTTCACAGTCACTAAACCCAAAGCGACTCGGCACATTTTCCACATAGTGGGATTGTAACAGAGTTACCCCACCATCACCTTCTCTTAGAAGCTTGATATTAAGAATAACATCAACCTCTCTCAAATCTTTCATTTCAAATTTATTAGATAAAAATTCTTTCACCTCCTCAATTACTTTGAGGTTGGATCCAAATATCAGTATGTCATCAACATATAAGCACAAAATAACTCCTTCACCCCCTCTATACCGATAGTGCACACATTTGTCAGCTTCATTCACA